AATTTCACCTAGTTTTTCAATGTCTCGGCTATAAAAAAATTTCGACCTAGATCTCAGGTAATGGTGCTCGACCGTCGAGTTCTGGTTGAAAAACCAGGTCTGGAAATGGAACGACGCGACTTGTTGGGAAACCTAATAGTGTAATGTTAGAAGAGGTCATGTATAAGTAGAGGGTACATCATTGATTGATTTCTCCCAAGGGAAGATAAAGTTAGAGATAGTTGTCGGTTTGGTCAATTTTTGTCGGCTGGACCTCCCATTTCGCAGGCCTAAAATTTGAAAACCCTGGAACAAGGTGGAAGAAGAACATAGCATCTTGTAGAGCAGACAATTCTCTTTCGAATGGTATATGACACGATGTAAAAGCATGGGGATTTAGATGAAAATTTTTGGTTGAAAAAAAGCGACACTATTTACCTAATAAAAGAACAAGGCAAAAAAAGATCGAAAAACGCGTCTCAGTGTTCGTCCTGCTTTAACAACTTCGTTCAATCTCAAAGGGTTGAAGAAATCATCTACGTGGTAGAATGTGAAGACATCCAGATTGCAGTAGATCTCACGAGCGCTGTCTGCAAATAGTTTACTTGTTCCCTTGAAATGTGAATTCCTGGGAACATCATGCACTTGTTTAACGTATGATCGGAAATGGTGCGAGTGAAGTGGGAAACTGGGCGGGATGTTCTCTTAATTCTGCATTGCCGATTTTTTTACTGATGCGAAGGTATTCAAATCCGAATAAAAAGATAGAATGACACAAACTACATTTTCAGCTGATCGAAGTTGAATATTGCAAACATCATCAAGTTTGGACTAACGAATTTTACGACGATCGTATCTAAAATAAGGACCCCTCCTCTTCTAATTCACAACCCATAGAACAAAGCAAGAATTATCTCCATTTTATCAAATATAAATGGTTTCTTGAGCCGAGGGAAGGGAACCCACAGGAAAAATCACAAAAAATCAACAACATCCAACATTTCTGCAGAACCTGCACACGACGAAATATACACTGACCAGGAAAAGATGAATGGGTCGAAGTGACCGTTTGCAACGAGGCATACACTGCTGGATGTGCTTTTGAACCCTAATCTCCAATCTGCTTTGCAAATCTGCCAAACTATTAGGTTGCCCCAAAAGAAAAATATCCTTCACTTTTGTGACACTGTTTCTATAACAAACCGTAATACCTCACAATGCGTGGGATCCTTGTCCGAAAGACCGTTATGGGCGCACAGCAGAATGTAGTGAATGCCAGGGGGCGATGGCTACTTTGGTCAGAAAATTCGTTAAAATGCTCGAGTCCAAAATGTCGCCCTCGTGTTTTCATGAGGCATGCCTTTAAACAAGGAACAGCTGTCACTGATTCTCACCATATAGCGTACAAACATTCAACCGCAACGCTCAGCCTCTGAGACAATTGCAGCTATGGTTTTATCGCTTCTTATACCGATGTAGCTGTCATGAGGACGAAGAACATGCACACCAACCTGAGCTGTTAATAATGAAGTACTACGAACTCCGTTGAGTCGAGCTATTGCCAAACTAAACAAAAACCTGCATGAAGGTCTAAATGCGTCAACACCTCTGTCAACAGAAAGCTTCTAGGGTTGATTAGTAAGGTTTAATTGGTGCGGAAAATGCGTTCGCCTATCTTCTTTGTGAAGGGAACAAACAAGTCACGCTGGCTTGCCAGCGGTGGAGTCATCGTTTCAAGTTCATTTGAGAAAGCAATGTCCTACGCACAATGAGAAGACAGCTGTGGATGCATGGACAAATAAGACCGACTTCGAAATCAGATATTCACGGAGCAGATGTTGCTTTTGTAAGGCGGGACAGTACGGAACTGGTGTAGATTGGACTTTCGATTGTGGGTTGGGAAGTTACGTTGACTCTACGCATAGCAGTTCGCCTGCTTGGACCAAGATGTTCCTAGTCAAGGGGTCATTCTGTCCGATTGAAATTGATGCACAAAAGCGCATAACCCTCATGTTGTGAAAAGACCCCAAACAGCAATCGAGGAGTAGGACATGGGAGTTTTGCTCTGCGTGCCGATTAGAGCAGATTTGGCGCTTTTCCGACACCGTTCGTATATCCAAATCAGCACACACATTCATGCTATAAGTTTACGAATTCGGCTAAAGTCTTGGTGTCCAACCTTCCTAGAAAGCAACAAACAGTTCCTTGAATGTTCCATGTCCGGTCTTCTTGAAACCTGGGCATTCCGATTGTGTCTTGCTTCTGTTTTGCCTTCCAGGTTTGTTATGGTGGAATCTTTATTGGTCGACGTTTCGAACAAATCGTCGTTATCAAGACCTAAAATTAGTTCGGAGCTCTAGCTTGTAGTCTACCCACTTACACCCCAATATTGCCAGTTGTTACAATTACAATATCTCTCTCAGTAATTACAAATCAAGCTAGGATTCCAGCTAAAACCAACCTCCTACGTTTCCACCAGTACTGGATCCCCACTTGGCTCTGCGAACAGCTGACGAAAAATGAGGCACCGCTCACCCTCGCGTAATACGTGCGGTGGGCGGTGATATCATAATTCGCATAATGGAATGAAAGGCAGGAATTCACTTGTAACGGCCATGCACTCATTTCGGTTGTTCAGCTGTGGATTTCGC